GGCGACTCTTTCGCAGATCGCAGCCACCCCCGCGGGGAAGGCGAGGTCTAATTTTGATATGCGGTGGCACCCTCTCTGCTGGCCTCCCCAGCAGCTCTCGAAAGCGGCGACCGTTTCGCAGATCGCAGCCCCCCAGGGATCGCGAGGTCTAGTTCTGATCAACAGTGGGTATCTCTCTGCTGGCCTCCCCAGCAGCCCTCGAAAGTGGCGACAGTTTCGCAGGTCGCAGCCCGCCAGGGATCGCGAGGTCTAATTCTGATCCGCGGTGGGTAGTCTCTCTGCTGGCCTCCCCAGCAGCCCTCGAAAGTGGCGACAGTCTCACAGATCGCAGCCCCACAGACATGGCGAGGTCTGATTCTGATCTGCGGTGGGTACCCTCTCTGCTGACCTCCCCAGCAGCCCTCGAAAGTGGTGACAGTCTCACAGATCGCAGCCCCACAGACATGGCGAGGTCTAGTTCTGATCCGCAGTGGGTACCCTCTCTGCTGGCCTCCCAAGCTGACATGGCGAAGTCAAATTCTGATCTGCGGTGGATATTCTCTCTGCCGGCCTCCCCAGCAGCCCTCGAAAGTGGCGGCAGCTTCGCTGATCGCAGCCGTACCCTCCAGGGCTGGCGAGGTCCGCACAAGGCAACACGAGACAACAAGAAAGCGAGAGACGGGAGGCGGGAGGCGGGAGAAGAAGGAGGTGAAGGACGCGACCGCAGTGCTCTATTCAAAGCGAATACCCAACCAAGGAGGGTTGGGAAAAAAGAACCCAACGAAGGAGGGTTGGGAAAAACGAGACATAGATAGCATGTCTGGGAAAAAAAAGTGCGCCTTTCGTGCAACTTCGGGGCCCCCGTCGGGCCCCTTTAGGGCCCCTCTCCTGCAACCCTTTCCCAGATATCCGCCGATATGACTTGTTTGATCCGCGGCCCCAGGAGGTCCCGACCCCTTCCACGGGGCTACTTCTTCGCCCCGGATCGATCCAATGTTGATTACACTGGGGCCAAACAACGGCTCCTTGAAGCCGAAATCAAAGGAAAAATGCCGCGAACACGAAAATCGAATCGTCGGAGATCTAGGTGCATCGTCGCCCCATTCATATTCGTTCACATTATTGGCGACAACGGCCGTTACCGACCCCGCCCCCAGCACCTTCCTTTCCCCCCCTGGTCACGCTGCGATTCGCGCCAGCGCCGTCAGGGAATCCGACATCCGTAAGCATTCCCAGACGGCGCCGGAGCGAATCGTGACGTGACTGGCCCTCCCCCTCCCCCCCCCGGTCACGCCCTCTACGGCGAAGGCATTGAAAAAGAAACCATTGGAGAAGGAATCCAAGGTCTGGATGCCTTTGGAACTCCTATCGTGGAGTGGCCATGGATCTCAGTGCCGCCCTCGTCAGATACGGAATCCTCCAGGGTCTGAAGCCTCCTGTGGGGAAAGCAGCAGGTACCGATACCGCTATTCCCCCTGACCTCTCCCGGGGTGCGTTCTGACCAGGATTTCGAGGCGGATCCAGCGGTGGCGACGAGAGCCTCCCAGTGGCCCAGGAACGGGGAAAGCGAGGGAAGGGCAGCAGCATGGGCACCTGCTCCTGCTCCGATCCTGGGCACATGACCTACCAAAGGCCCCCACCGTCGCGCGGGGCGATGGAAAGCAAAGAGGCCCCTCGCGAAGCGCCCGAGGGGATACGAGACCTATGTTGCTTCACATCAGCAATTTGGCCCCTGCTGACTTTTTCCAAAATAATATATTGGGATGAAACGCTGCCGCTGGATATATCGAGCACAGTTGATCACAACACAAACGCTCCTGCGATCCCCGCCAAAATGGCAAGAAATGGTAAGCTCAGATCCGCATGGCTACATTGCAACCGAACCGCTTGACCACCATCTCGACCGAACTGGCGGAATTCGACCACGCGTCCGACAAAATACGTTCGACGAGGGATGCGCTGCACAATGCCCCGGCCACGGGCAGCGCTACGAGGGAAAGCGGGCCCTTCGATGTGTCACTTTCAGCGCCCGTGAAAGTGACACCTCCCAGGGCCCACTTAAAGAGCACCAGAAAGGCTCCAAGAAGGCCCCGAGAAGGCCCCAGGGCGGCACCAAGAGGGCTCCCAGAGGGACCCAAGAGAGGCCCCAAGAAGGGCCCAAGAGGGCCCTCCGCGGTGTCACTTTCAACGCCCGTGAAAATGACACCTCCCAGGGCCCACTTAGGGCCTCAGAAAAGCTCTAAGAAGGCCCCGAAAGGGCCATAGAGAGCCGCCCTGGGTTCAACTCCGCGTGGCGGAGTTGGAAGCGATAACTTCAATACCCTACTGGAGGCCTCTTAGGGGCCCTAAGACGGCACTGAAGAACCCCATCGGGGCTTTTTCAAAGGCAGAGGAGGGCGCAAAAAGGGGCCTCAGTGAGCCCCTGGTCTAACTCCACCTGGCGGAATTGGAAGCGATATCGCCCGGCGCCTTCATGGAGCCGCTCGGAGCTTCCAAGACGGCTCCAGAAGGCCCCAGGAGGGCCCCAAGAGGATCGAACGACGATTCCTGGAAGTGCACCAGTGAGACCCTTGTTGACCTCCGCCTGGCGGAGTTGGAAGCGACAATTTCCAGTGCCCTCTTGGGGCCTCTGGGGGGCCCCTCAGAAAGCTTTGGGGAGCACAGTGAAGGCCTTCGCAGGGCCGCGTGAGAGCCGTACCAGGGCCGCATGTGTGCGCGGATGGGGGCGACGAGTGCTGACGCTGACGAATATGAGAATGATGAGGGCGATCAAGGCTGGCCCGAAACAAATCCTGGCGCCATTGCAGGCCGCCGATTATCGGCCACGCCGCCAGGACGACGCCAAGCAACAAAACGACACCAACCAACAAACCGACACCAACCAACAAACCAACAAATCGACACCGGCCAACAAAAGGACACCAAGCAACAAAACGACACCAAGCAACAAAACGACACCAACCAACGAAACGACACCAACCAACAAAACGGCACGAATCAACAAAACGGCACTGACCAACCAAACGACAAATCACTTCACGACACCAATGAACAACGCGAAATCCACCGACCGCCAACCAAGCATAAAATCAACCGACACAACGAAACCAACCCATAGAGCCAGACCAACCACTGGATTCGTGAGTCGGGGTAGTCATGGAAGTGAGCCGCTGCAGCCCGCGGAAGCCATTAACAGTGACCAGAGCACCGCAATGCAGCAACGTCCCCGGGCGGCGGCGGGAGTCTTGGATCTCCCGCGGGACTGGAGCGTAGCGAGTTCGTCCTGGGTCCGGTTTAGTGAAGTGAAGAATTTCGGGGTGCTTGCATGGCAAAAACCTTCACTTCACTAATCTGGGGCCCCTGGAGCCCCAGGGCGTTTCAGGTCCCCTCGCTGTCTGGGTAGTCCAGGGGGCGCAGTGGCGGCTTACCAGAGGCCCTGTTCCCTAGCCTCACTTGCTTTCACCCGTGGTGCTCGACGGCCGTCTCGGAGCTGTCTTGTGGCGGTCTGGGGCAATCCCGAAGCCTCTTGGAGCCATCCCAAGGCCCCAAGGCGCCACCAATGGGGGCCCCAAGAGAGCTCCCAGAGGGCCCCGAAAGGCCTACAACAGATTGCACGTTCGCGCGAATTCTTTGTACCACTTTGGGGGGTCCCTCTTGGGGCCCTCGGGGAACGTTCTTGGGGCCCTCCGAGGGCCCACTGGGGCCCCGGGAAGGCCCCAAGAACGCTCCCAGAGGGCCCCAAGAATGCTCCAAGAGGGCCCCAAGAGGACCCCCACAAGTGACAAAAACTATTTGCATGAGGGTGCAACTTACTCGGCGCCTCTTGGGGCGCTTTTGGAACCGTGCTGGGCGCCACTCGTGGACGACATGGGCTGGGCGACGGCATGTGGACCCTGTCGCTTGGGCCATCGGGGGTGCTCCCCAATGGGGCCACGAAGCTTGTGAGCGTATGACGGAATGGGCTGGGCGGCGGCCTGTGGGCCCTGCCTGTGGGGCCGTCGGTGTAGCTCCCCGTGGGGCCACGAAGCGTGTGAAACGTATGCCGAAATATGCTGGGCGGCGGCCTGGGAAACCTGCCGCTGGGACCTTTTTTTGGTGGAGCTGCCTATAGGGGCACGAAATGTTTGAGGGTGTCATCAATGTGGCCTGGGCGACGGCATGTGGACCTTGCCGCCGGGACCTCCGATGAGCTCCTCATGGGGACACGAAGCGTCTGAGGGGCGTGCCGACATGGGCTGGGCGGCGCACTAAGGACCCTGCCGATGGGGCCTTCGGTGGAGCACCTCACAAGGCCACGAGACTTGCGGGGGATGTGGCGAAGCAGAGACGCGGGGGAACAAGGGGGGGTGTTTTGATTATGTTGATGAGGATGGTGGTGGTATTGATGATGGAGACGGCGAGAAGAATGCTGATGATGATGGTGATGGCGACGATGACGATGGACGATGACGACGGAGACACGCGGAGAGCAGGGGCAGATACGCGAAGAGGGAGGACGAGGGAGGGGGCCGGAAGGAATGACGCGGGGCGGTGTCTCTTCAAGACGAAGAACCAACACTGCAACATGGTAGGACATTTCTGGACGACCCCCCCCCGTGGCGCGGTCAATGTCCGCGACAGCATCGCTGGCACTACGAACAAAATGATCGAACTCTTCCTGCGACGTTACCCGCGGGGTGGATCAGCCAGGGATGGGGGTCGAAACCGCCCCAGCGCAAAGCAAATGTACAATCCTGAGAAACCCCAGCCCACATCAACCGATCCGCAACAAGCACGCAAGCCTTTGACGACCCCAACGCACGTGACATCGCATAACGCGACGCGCCATCGAAAACGTTCGACGCGCGGCCTCGGAATGACATCGGGCTTCATGGAACGTCGAATGGACAACATGAAAAACCGCCCTGTGGGCTCCGAGACCCAAAATTACTGATGTGAAGGATTTCGGCTCGTCGAGGGGAGCAGCTGGGGGGGCCCGCCACGGGGTCGCGCACCGCTGGCGCGGGGGTGGGGCGGCGCGCCTCCTGCCGGGTCACCTGCGCGTCGGGCAGGTCGACCTCTCGGCCCGCGCGGCGGCGCAGGGCGTCCCTCTGCGCCATGCGGGAGACGGGTCGTACGCGAGAGAGCACACGGTGAGGGCACTGGACAAGATGGGGTCAAGAATCATAGTAAGGATGCACGATGGGGATGCACGGGCCTTGGAAGGCCATGCTGGCACTTTTCGAGCGGGGCGCAGCCAGCGAAAGTAGCCAAGGATGGGCCGAAGGGGATGGATGCAAAAGTAACCTCGGCAAAGTCGCACATCCAAACAGCCAGTGTCGCCTGTAAGGCACCATTGGACAAGGAATCGAGGGTCTGAAGCTGGTGGAACGCCCATCGTGGAGTTGCCATGGAATTCACCGCCGCCCTCATCAGCCAAGGACTCCTCCAGTGTCTGAAGCTGCCTGGAATACTCCTTGACGGACGCCCCAAACGTAGCGCCCTCACGCCGCGGCTCACGCGGGCCGCCAGCGTCGCACGTGGAAAAGCGGGCGCCGACGCGCGGCCCTGCGCGGGACGCTCATGCGCGAATGTCCGCGCAAGTGGACCCGTGGTCTTCCGTCGATCGTGTGGCGGGTTCCGGAAACACGGGAGCCACTCGCTCCAGTCATGCGTCGATACTGCCTCGAAAGTCCGTCGGCTTGAAGAGAACTTCAGTCGAACTTGAGTCGAGCGAGAATCGAACCAGAATCAAACTAGAGTCGAACAGGACCGTTGGGTGGGCCCCAGGAAGGTCCCAAAAACAAGCATCTAATACAGCGGAATCTGGAACCCTTGGGTCCGAAAAAAATGCATTCATATACATATGTGCAGCTATACATACATATATATATATATATATATACGTATGTAAATATATATATATATATATATATATAGAGAATGTACACTATACCAATCGCGAAGCTCCGATTCTAGCCCAGGCCGGGGGGGCGCTGGAAGATCTTGGACAGCGCTATCAAGCACGGGCGCGTGACATAGTCGTGCCTCCTGAGGGCCTCTTGGGAACCTCTTGGGTCTGCGTGGGGGCATCTGAAGGGCTTTTGGGGGGTTTTCCGTGCTTCCTCAGTTGGCTGTTGGAGGCATCTCGTGGGTGCTTCTTGGGGGGGCTTCTTAGGGTCCCTTGGGGGCATCGCAGTCGGAAGGTGATGCTCTGCAATCTGAAGCCGTCATTGGCCGTCTTGGCTGCGTGGAGGCCCGACTTGAGGCCACCTGGGGCCACATTGAGGCAATCTGGAAGCCTCCCGGGGGCCTCCTGGAGGCAATGTTGACGCATCGAGGGCACTGTTGGGCTATCTCGGGGCCCCGTGTGCGTCTCCTGGGTGCCTTTTGGGGCCTCTTGGGAAGCTTTTGGGGGCCTCGTCGGACCACTTGGGAACTCTTGGAGCCTCCTGTGGGCCTCTCATGGCGGAAGGCTCTGCTGTTGGGTTCGCGTTCCCCTTCTTGGGCCTCTCTTCGGACCCTCTCGGGCCGTCTTGGGCGCCTCAAGCTCCGTCTTGGGGCCCTCGCGGGTACTTCTTCCGGGCCCAACACGACCCCAAGACGGGCCAAGAGGGCCCCACAAGGTCCAGAAGAAGGCGGTCCAAGAGGGCCTCGAGTCGCCGAGCGATCGCTCCAAGACGCTCAAGATGGCCCCCAGGCGGCCCAAGAGGCCTCCAAGACGCCCCAAGAGGCCTCCAAGAAGCCTCCCAAAGAGGCCAAAATAATTGATTATCCATTGGTTTTTGAATGTGTGTTGGCGTTCTCGCCTTTTCGGCTTCCCGACGCTCCCAGACGGCCCTAGACAGCCCTAGAGGCTCCCAAGATCGCCCCAAGAGGCCTCCAAGAGGGCCCCAAAACGGCCCAAGAGGGCCCCAAGACGGCTCAAAAGGGGCCCAAGAGGCCTCAAAGACAGCTCCAAGACGGGGCCCAGATGGGGGACCCGAACGGACATTTCGAGCCCATTTCGAGTCCTCGACCCCGAGGGCCCCCCAGGATGCCCCAAGAGGCCCCAAAGAGGCCCCCCAGAAGCCTCCAAGAGGCCCCAAAACTGCTTTAAAAAGGCCACTGAGAGTGCTCCGAAGAGACTCCAAGAAGCATCCCTGCAGACTCTGAACCGCAACCCCGGCACGATGGCGGAAGGGCCGAAGGCCTTTAGATGTATGTTTGCCATATATATATATATATATATATATATATGTATATATACACATATACACACACATTCACAGATACATATATATATATATATATATATATGTATATATATATATATGTATATGTATATATATATATATGTATGCATGCATGCATGTATGTATGTATGTATGTGTATATATAATAAACAAATAAATATACACACACGTATATCAGAAAACAAATTGATACTTCTCCCGCCAGTTTCATCCGACTTCCGCCAGCCTTCCGCTGCCTTCCGCAGGCCTTCCGCCGAGGAATCGACGGCGAGCCGGTGGTGGAAGTGAGAAGGGGCGGGCGTTCTCAGAAGTCTCGGAAGTCCCCCAGCCTTCTGAGAAGTTCCCTGAGTCTTCCCCGAATACACAGAAAACGTCTCAGAAGGGGGGAGGGCTTCTGAGAAGTCGCGCCGCCTTCTGAGAAGGCCTTCTCCTGCTGACTTGCCACCCTTCGCTCGCCTCCTGAGCAAGAGGTGTCACCCTCCCGATCCCTCGAAGGCGCGGCCCTTTAGATCTGGAGCGCTCCACGTGGCGCGCGGGCCCCGGCCCCTCAGATCTGGGCGGCGCCTGAAGAGCGTGCCACGGCCAGCTCTGCGTCGTTCTCGGCCGCCGCACAGGCCGTCTCCGGCCCCAACCGGCTACGCGCAGAAGCGGCACTGCGCAAAGGGAGGCCTCTGGTGCGCGTCTGGGGACCCGAGTCTTTGAGCATCGAGTGATAAATTCGAGCATCATGTGAAGATCGGTCTGAATTCAATTTCTGGCACGATGGAAGCGTACATAGTTTAGCGCCAGCGGTAGAGACGGGCTTGCAGCAACGCTCTCCCACCTCCGCAGTCATGTGCCTCAAAGGCCCCACAGAGAGCCGTGCTAGCAGCACACTGCGCACTGTACGCCAGCGTTGAGTCTAGGAAAAAAGTCATTGCGTGCCCGCCCCAAAAGTCACCCTGGCGAAAGGTCACTCTTACGTGTAGCCGTCCAAGACCTTCAACATAACGGCTCAGGATGGAGATCGGGCCCCGCGAAAATGGTCGAAGAACCTGGAGGCCGACATCACGAAGACACAGAAAGTTGACAACCCCAAACGGTCAATTCTTGCACTGTGAATGTTGAGGCTGTGTGGTTCCAACTATGTGGTACAAACTATATAGTTAAACGTGGTGCAAGCTAGAGACGGCAAAGGAGCAGCAACGGACGGCAACGTGGCGAAACCTCGCTGGACCCACCCAGCGCACGAGGCGGCAACGAGGCGGCAACGATCTGCAACGCGGCGAAACCTTCCCGGACACACCCAGCGCACGGAGCGGCAACGTGGCGGCAACGGGCGGCAACGTGGAAAATCTCCGCCAGACCCGGCCATTTCCTTAGGGAGACAAGTAAGAACCCCAAAGTGCAAGCGCTGCTTGGGGAATGAGGTACCGCGAAGTGGTCGGACTTCTAAGATGGCGGGGGAGCTTCGAAGGCAGGGGGCTTCTTGGAAGCCCTCCCGGCTTCTGCGAAGCCTTCATGAGAAGCCTCTGGGCCCTTCCAAGAACTGAGAAGGCCCCCGCCCTCTCAGAAGGCCACTTCCCTCGCGCCACCCACCCCTGTGTGCGCACCGCCGAAGGGACCTTTTGCACAACGTGCGCCCCTCAGAGATCTGGACTTTTTCGCCCGGACCAGCCTTGTCATCCCGACACGTTTTTTGACACCCCCCCCGGCCCAGAGAGGGCCAACGGAGACCGAAAAGGGTTCCAAACATATTCCGCGGTGATCTTTTACGGCCGGGGGAGGTCGGCTTTCGGACCATAACTCTGCTTCAGCGGCCGTTGGGCACGACTTTGGCACCTCAGGAACGCTCTCGGCGATGTGTGCCGCAGTAGGCGCACATGGAAAGCGTGAAGCATCTGGCACACCAGGAACGCCTGGCACGGGCGCCCAGGGCACCTGGTGAGCGCAGCGCACCTGGCACGCGTGGCGCACCTGGCGAGCGTCGAACATCTGGCGTCCGGATTGGTCCCAATGGATGTCCATGCGATGGCGACCTCGGCCTAAGCTGGGTCTCGGATGCTGCTGACATGGTCGGAGGGCGGGTGGGAGTGAGCAATACAGCTTGTGGCGTCCCCGTTGGGAACTAAACATCTGTCCCGTCTCTGGATCTGGACGGGGGGGGGGGCGCGAGGGGGAAAGCGTGCAAGATGGCCCAATATGGCTGCAAGATGGCCCCAGATAGCCCAAGATGGCATCCAAGATGGCTCACGATAGCCAAGTTGGCGCAACATAACCTCCAACATGCCTCCCAGATGCGTCACAAGACCACCCGAAGCCGACTCTAAGTGGCTAGCGATCGTTCCAAGTCCTTCATCAAACACCCTAGGTGATTCAATGTTGTTGGTCTATCGCCTTTTCGCTTCCGATGGGACGGTGAGGCCTGAAGATGGCCACAGCATAGCCCAATACAGCCCAAAGAGGGGCCGAGAAAAGGCCCAAGACAGGTCCACAAGAACACCCAAGAACACTCCAGGAACGTCCCAACAGGACACCAGGAAACGATATTTCGGGCTCCAGGGGGACGCAGTTAATCCGCGCTCCATGTCTCCCAAGGTCGCCTCAAGAGGGCCCGAAAAGGCCCCCAAGAGGGCACCAAGAGCGGCCCAAAAGGACCAAAACGACTCCCCCAGAAAGCTTAAAGAAAGCTCCAAGATGGCTCCCAGAGGCTCAACGAGGTCTCTCAGTTCACTATTGTCAGCCTCTTTGTTTCAGCATATGCTGATCTACTAGGCTGGTGGAGATACGTGACGAGTCAAAAACCTTGGCATCTGGAAACCCGTTTCGAGCCCCAGGTCCATCAGAAATCTACATTGTATAACAAAAGAAGGTATTCGGCCTGGGGACGAGAGGACCCAGGGACCACGTCACGAAAACATCCTGCCGACGGATCTCTGGGCACGTCACTGCATTTAGGCAACTGGGTGCTACAACGTCACCGAGAAACCGAAACGCACACGGCTGGGGCCACGCGCAGGACACTGGAAATGCATGCGGCCACACGCGCACCCAGCTCTCGCACCGGCTGGACAAGTCGTTCCAGCTGTCTGCTCCCAGCCCAGCAACGCATCTCCCACGGTGCCGTAGGCGCGTTGGAGCGTGGTTGAATTATTGGAGCTCTCGGATTGCAAACAGGCGTAGCCCGCGCCTCCCTACGAGCGCCGGCCTTGTTGGCCACAAGCATGAGCACGGCGTCCTGGTTCGTCGAGTACTTCCTCACCTCGTCCTGCCAGAACTTGATGTGCTCGAAGGTGGCTCTCTGGCGGCGGCGAGGCGCTCAACAGCAAGATCCATCTCTCCTCCCTGCCTCCTTCCTCCACCATGTTCCTCCCTCCTGCCGCCATCGCTGCTCCATCCCCACCCTCTCCTCTGCCTCCATCTCTTATCTCTCCCTCCCCCTATACCTCTCCCCATCAAACTTCCAACTCCTCATCATAGCCCCTTCCCTCCCACCCAATTTCCTCCTTGACTGTAACGTCAACTTTGGGCCTCGAAAGGGAACCGCGCGTCCTGGGCTACTAGGGTCAATCTCGTCAGGCAGTTTGCAGCGAAACCTCATTGCGGGAACCATGCTCCCTGAGCATGAATTGAACACAACGGCATGAATTTTGCTCCGGCGGAAATCTGCCTTCCGAAATAGACTGTACCGCACGACGTGTCCTGCATACGAGCTTCAGGGAAATTGCGGGAAAACCTTCTCTTGGAATCAACAGCCCTCTATCGAAACATAAGGAAACGCAGAACCATGACACTCTCCTCTGACGATTTCTGAGGACGCCTCCGGTAGGATCTGCAGTTCTTCTGCAATGTGAGAAGAGGCCGTAGGCAGAGGGGCCACGTTCCTTTCTGGCTGATATTGGACATGCCTTTCGAGGGCGAACGTTCTTCTGGAAGCATGCTAGTAAACCCCTGGCAGACCCCGCATGCCTCGGAAATATGGTGAAACGGTGGTCTATCGCGATTAACAACACGCAGACGCCATGCTCATAGGGCAACTTGCGAACACACTTCAAGCAAGAGCTCGCGCTGTCGACCTTCATTGGCTGCTGGAGCCTCGAGATGGCCCCAAGAAAGTCCTGAAGGCGGAGGAAGGGCACGAGCAGGGATGATTAAGAAGGGGAATGGAGGAGGGAGGGGGATGGGGAAGGAGGAGGGGGCCTCCCCTCCTCCCCCCTCCTCCCCCCTCCACAATTAAACAATATGAACGCACTCAAAATTTATGCTACGAAATCTTCGAGTAAGAAATTCAGCCGAGCTTCGCTGATTTGCTCAACCCTCTTGCGAGAGCCAGCTTTGGAAGCGTGCAATTTCTCCTGAAAGTATCCGGGAGATCTCCCGCCTCCTCCGCGTGCTGGTTTTTGCCGCACAGGATCTCAAAGGTTGAATGTTCGCATGGTCTGTTTACACCCCGATTGTTTTTGGTGCTTCGGAATTGTGCTCCCACTGCAGCGTGTGCCTGATTTTCGGATCGGCGCTTTGCTCCCGTCGTTCAGAATGGCGCTCTCGCCCCAGCGCGGGCCACTTTTCTGGATCCGAGACTTGCTTCGTTGTGGTTCCCCCCTCATTTCCCCTCCTCCGCCTTCCCCTGGTCTTCATGTTCCTCCCGCTCCTTCCACTCCAGTTCCTGTTGCTGATGTTCGTCTCGCCCCAGCGCAAGCAACTTTCTGAATTCGAGTCTTTCTTCACCTTTGTCGCCTCATCAAATCCCCTCCTCCACCTTCCCCTGGTCCTTCTTTTCTTCCCGATCCGTCCGGTTTAGTTCCTGCTGCTGCTCATGCTCATCCTTTTACTTCCGCTCATCCTCCTGCTCGCCCACCACCCCCTCCTGTGAACGCAGCTCCCCCCTTTCCAAATTGCGCATAACACGAAGTGGTCTTGGAGTCGCAGGTCGCGGATAAACATCAGCGCCATTGAGGGGATGGTATGGATTGATAGGTTGTCAGATGAGGCGCGAGCGCGCCTAGCTTGCCCCCCTCCCCTCCTCCCCCATCCCTCCCCCCTCCCCCGTCCCTCCTCCCTCCTCCGTCCAACCCCCTCCATCCCCTCTCACGCCACACGCTTGAAAGGAGGAGGATGGGAGAACGGCGACGACAGAGGGAGAGCGAGAAGGACGAGGACAACGACGACCACCACCACGACGAATAGAATCCAGGCCCCCGAGGTCGGCTTCAGGATACCCCTCGACCTCTCCAGAGGCCCTCCCCGAGGACCCCGGAGGTCTCCAGAGGTCACAGGGAGCCTCCAGAGGCCCGTGGTGACCTTCTGGAGACCTCTCGGGGCACAGAGAACGCCACACACGTCCAAAATCATCGAACCCTCCTCCTGCCGGCCAAGGGCAGCCGAGCTGCTCCGCGCCCCTCACACACCATATGGGGGGACCCAGGGGCCTTTAAGGTCAGGTCCTGCGTTGCTCGACCTGCTCCCGGCCATGAACGGGCAGTGGGCGTCCCGCGCACCACTCCTCCTCTCCTCCGCCTCCTCCTCCTGCTTCTCCTCTTCCTCGTCTTCGTCCTCCTCCTCGTCCTCGTCCTCCTCCTCCTCATTCTCCGCGATCCTCCTCCGCGATCCTCCCCCACGATCCTCCTCCTCCGCGATCCTCCTCTGCGGGCCTTCTTCTCTTCCGCGATCCTCCTCATCGGACACTCGGCTCGGCGCTGCACCACCCGCCTGGGAGCAGTCGAAGCAGAGGACGATGCCCTGGTGCGCGCGAGCGGATCCCGCCCCGTGACGCCTTCCTGCAGCCCTTTCGACAATCCTCCTCCTCCTCCTCCTCCTCCTCCTCCTTCTCCTACTCCTCCTCCGCCTCCTCCTCCGCCTCCTCCTCCTTCTGCTCCTTCTGCTCGTCCTCCTTCTCCTCCTCCTCCTCCTCCTCCGCCTCCTCCTCCTCCTCCTCCTCCTCATCCTCATCCTCATCCTCGTCCCCATCCTCCTCCTCATCCTGCTCTTACTCCTCATCTTCCTGCTCGTCCTCCTCGTCCACCTCGCCCTCCTCGTCCGCCTCGTCATCTTCGTCCTCCTCGTCCTCCTCGTTCTCCTCCTCCTCCTCCTCTTGAACTCGGGTGGCAACTTAGGTGGCAACTCCTGGAATGGTTTCGCGGGCACGGCTTGGAAACTACCTGGGGGGACAGGTCGGGTTAAGCCAGATGCTCTGCCAAATCAAGCAGAGCACTCAAGCAGTCCAGGTGGATCGGGCTGGACTGTGTCGGAATGGCGCCCAGGATGCATCAAGGCCGAAGACTCACTCACCCCCCGGGGAAGTTCCAGCTGGAACACCCCAAGAAGGGCCGCCCAGTGCCCTCGGTCTCCTCGGAAAAGCCCGGGCTCTGGAGCGGCGCGCTCTGTCTGTCTCTCTCTCTCTCTCTCTCTCTGTCTTGATTGGACGGCGCTCCTGCTGAACTCACGCCATCCATGGCCCCTGGCGCGCGATAAAACGCGGCCCTGATCACGCCTCTGGGGACCATTCAATAGCGAGTCGCACGGGCTTCCAGGTGGGAAGTGCTGCCCAAATGGCCCAACTGGCTCCCTGAACTGCCGTCCCCCATGCCTCCCGAGACTGGAACTCACGGCCGCGCGTTGGACCCCCAAGCTGGGGCTCACGCGTGGGATGTCCTCCCAACATTGGTTCCGATACCTGGCCACGAGGCTCTGCCAGCTGAGGGAGCCGAAAAACAGAAAGTTTAAGACACCTGCGCCAGGATTTCTTAACGACGCGAACATATCTGGCCTTCGGGACATAATTCGGACTTCCAACGAACGTTTCCGACGATCCAGGCACCTCCGGAAGGCTCGCGACCAGACGCGGTCGTTGAAAAGCATCCCGAGGCTAGAAAACCTTCAGGCAACTACTTAAGCTTCCAGTATGGGAAAGAGCATCCTGTAGCTGTTGCAAAATGTTTGGGAAGAGCGTGCGCGACGCAAAGGCGAGGGCTCCATGTTGAAAGCCACCTTCCTTCCACCGTTCTACATGTTCCCAGCCTGTAAAGCGGACGTGCGTGCGGTGATGATGCAACATCACCTCTGCACTGACCGCGCATATGTTGCAACAATCAAACTGCAAGACCATGCATGGTGACGAAGTCTCAGGCGAAGCGCCCAGCCCACCCTACTGGCACGCCTACGGTTGCGACAGGGAGGAGTCATCTACAAGGGGTGGCTGGAAGTAGGGAAGAAGGGGGGGAGAGCAGGGAGGAGGAGGAGGAGGAAGAGGAGGAGGAGAAGGAGGAGGAGGAGAAGGAGGAGGAGGAGGAGGAGGATGGAGGAAGAGGATGAGGAAGAGCAGAAGGAGGAGGAGGAAGAGGAGGAGGGAGGAGGAGTCGGAGGAAGGGGATCCCCACCACCACCACCTCCCCTTGGGGAGGTGAAGGGGGGAAGGGAGTGATGGAGAGAGGAAGAAGAGCGAGAGGGGGAGGAGAGGGAAAAAGGATAAGGATGAGGGAGACGCCGCCACCACATCCACAATATCCTCCTCCTTTTCGTCCTCCTCTTCCTCCTCCGCCTCCTCCCCGTCCTCCATCCTCCATCTTCCTCGTCCTCCTCCATATTCCCTCCTCCTCGTCCTCCTTCCCCTTCCCTCCTCATCCTTCCCTCGCGCCCTCCCTCCCTCCCTCCCTCCCCCCTGCCTCCCTCCCTCCTCCTCGCGGGAGCGGTGCGCCCTCCTGCGCGCCCCGATAGTAAGAGGACGTCAGCGTCCGGAAGCGCTCCTCGCGCGACGCGCGCGCTCGCGGCGCCCCTTCGGCCGCGGATGTTCCGCGGCCGCGTCTGGGCCCAAAGAGGGGAGAAGGGGGTAAGTGGGGAGCGGAGGGGAGAGGGGGCGACGGAAACAGGAAGAAGGAAGAGGAAGGAGGAAGAGGGAGGAGGAGGAGGAGGAGGAGGAGGAGGACGAGAAGGAGGAGGAGGAGAACGAGGAAGACTGCGAGGAGGTGGACGAGGAGGAGGAGGAGGGGAGGAGGAGGAGGAGAAGGGAAGAGGTGGAGGAGGAGGAGGAGGACGAGGAGGCGGAGGAGGAGGAGGAGGAGGAGGAGGAGGGTGAGGAGGAGGAGGAGGAGGAGGAGGAGGAGGAGGAGGAGGAGGGTGAGGAGGTGGAGGAGGAGGAGGAGGAGAGAGGAGGAGTGGAGGAGGAGAAGGAGGAGGAGGGAGGAGGAGGAGAAGGAGGAGGAGGAGGAGGGAGGAGGAGCAGGAGGAGGAGGAGGAGGAGGAGGGAGGAGGAGGAGGAGGAGGAGGAGGAGGAGGAGGAGGAGGAGGGAAGACGAGGAGGAGGGAGGAAGTTGGGGAGGAGGAGGATGAGACGCAGCGTGAGGGATGAAGTCAATATTCCAACCACTCCACCCATCCTCCCTTCCCAGCCGCGCCTGCTCCACGATGGAGTCGAGGAGGGCTCGGCACAACAGATGCCGCTTACGCCTCCGCGTTGGGAGACGAGTGGCCAACCTCACGGCGTCGATTAACTGGTCGGCTTGGAACAGGGACAGCGGAAGCGCACTCTGATGGGACGCTAAACGATGTGCGTGGGAACGCGCAACTACAAAGGCCAGAGAACCACCTCGAAATCCAAGGAGGAAGAGGGGGTCCCCGGGGAGAAATGAATGCAGCGCCATGGAGGCGACAGACTGTAGTCTACGGCAGCTACATATATAATGATTGACGTTGTCAGGAACATCGCACCCGAAAACGCACTGAGCATCAAGCCGGGACATCCTGCGACTCGTGGCCCACGATCCAAGCCAAGATCTGAAAGCAATCTGGGCCTACGCGGGGGGGGGGGGGGGGGCAACTGCAGCAGCTCCATTGTGGCAGCATCTGTCCCTTCCCAGTCGAAGGAGAGATCGAAGTGACGACGGACACGGACGAGGATGCGAGCGGGGAGGGAACGGGTCGGGTACAGGGAGGCCTGGAACCAGAGCTTAAACTTCCCCTCCAACCGCGGTCTCCCTCTCGCTTCTCGAATCGCCGGGTCCCGAAACACGTGCAAGGCAGCCGTTCCGCCCTGGGTAAGAGCGCTCTGGAGGAGGCGAGAAGTGGGAACGGAGGACTAGGGGGGAAGCCCAGGGAGGCCCACTCCAGGGTGCTAGCGGCCGCCTCGGACTGCCAAAACTCGGGTGCGTGCTGTGGGGAGTGCCACCATGCCACGGGCCCGTATGAGACCGCAGCTGTCCCCAGGCGGACGGTCTGAGCCTGCCATGTCGAGAGCGTCGCCAAAGAGCACCGCATAAGTGTGGCCGCATTCATGGAGAGAGTACTGGGCAGACGAGGTAGCCCTCAAGACTGGAGTTCGAACCACTCGGGGTGCGAGACGATCGTGCACGGGGCGCGCAAAAGACGAGCAAATAGCATCCTCTCACGCACAGCCATGGCCCCGAACATAAGGAACAGTTGGGCGTTATATGAAAGCACAGGTAAGGCACGCTGCACATAGAGCTCGACGCATCTGTCAAAATGGGCTCCTGTGCCGGCAATCTCGACGGTTCTAGATCGCAGCTTCTGGCCGGGTCCCTCCCATTGATCCAGAAAAGTCGCCGCGGGACCAAGCCAGACTCCTAAATAGACCAGCTTGCCGACGATGTTAAAGGCCACCCAACCAGCTTCGGCTTCAGAGAGAATGGCGCGGAGCGGGGCCGACGCCGACTCAAGAGGGCCATCGCGGGGGACAGCATTGCACTTCGAGTCTTTGAATCATAAATTCGCCAGCTTCCTGGCAAGCGCGAAGATACGGGCTAAAGCGAAATATCCCCGCCGCCTCCACACCACAACCCCCACATCATCAGCGCAGACACGAGTGCAACCACGTTTCTTGGCATCAACATGCTTGGTGATATCTTCGAGGAACGGGTTGATCGCAAAGTTGAAAAACGTGCCGCTAAGAGGGCAACCCTGCAAAACCCTGAATGCATCCAATTGGTGACTTCCCGCATGCACGCGTCGTCAAAGCAGCAAGGATTAAGGTGGTATAACACAGAAATGGAGACGAGGGAACCAGACGGCAGCCTATGACACGTAAGACTCATGAGCATCCATTCTTGCCGGGAACGCTCGCGCAAAGTCGAACGACAGAAACGACAACGGCGACATAACAGCCCCAGGATCAACGGCTTTCCCCTCAGACGGCGCAGCAAGGCCCTTCTGCGCCAGAACGTTCCGGGAACGGTCTGCCAAAACGTTCTGGGAACGCTCACCAGAACGTCCGGATCCGTGCGCGTCTCCCGGCCGCGGGCGAAAAGCGCACAAATTGACGCTTGCCAGGCGTGCTACCGTGTCGAGGTCGACAGTATTGTCAACAACGTTGCGCCCAGGGATAAAGCCCCTCTGGCAGCGCGCTGGCAACCCGCGCAAAGCTGGGTAGATTGCACGATTAAACGTACCCCCTAAAACTTTGTTGGCCGTGTTCTTCAGCGAGCGAGGAAGGAGCGGAGGAGCCGCAGAGACGGGGAAGGGAGGGAAGAGAAATCCCTGCTGGACTGGAACCGCGCCGTATATTTCGCAGCAGTCTGTGGCACAGGCGAGCGTTCCTCGAAAACTGGGCGCCAGTATTGCGTGAGAGCCTCGAGGTTACCTCTGGGCCCCTCCGCGCACCGCATGTCAATCTTATGTTGTTCCGTCTTGGGCGGTTCTGTAGCGACCGAGCCCTCGATCGCCGAGGTGATGCATGCCAAAACTTGCGCCGTCGGACCGGGTTCCACAATTGCGCCCGCCGAGCTGCCGCCGACTTCCTGCCAAGCGCACGCTGGCGCCGCCCGGGGCAAGGAGCGTCCTCGGCTTCCTGCTCAAGACGCTCCTTTCGACGGCGTGCCTCCTGCTGCTGGAGGCCCACGTGCAGCGCATTGAATTTGGCGGGGTCCGCTAGTGAAACCTCCCCGCTAGCCGAGACCAACATCACAACTCTAGTCCAAAAGTGGTGCGCGCGAAGAGCGCGCGCCATCCGTGCATCCTGCCTATACACCACACGGGCAATCGAACGAGCCACCATCGCGCGTGACTCAAGACGGTGTGGCTGCCGCTCGAGCTGCAAATCACGAGTCGCAACTCCCGCCAGCTGTCGACAAAGGACGGCAAGTCGCAATCGCTCAGGCGGGTCGCAGAGCTCAAAATCGATCTGAGCCCCGTAGCATTTGACCATATCTGCATACACAGGGTCCGAGTAGAGGTGGAGAGGGAGGGGGCGAGGCCGATCCGAACGGGGAGGCCAACGAACAGAGAAGACGAGGGAGACGGGTGAATGGTCGCTGACTCCGGCGAGATGCAACTCTTCAGGCTCGGCGTGAGACTGAACCGCCTGCCAGCCTTGGCAAAGAAGCCAGAGCGGGGTGGCGGTGAACGACCTGTCCACGCAGGCGGAGGATGTCGTCCCTGGGTGCCAGCAGGTTGGCCGATTGCTCGAAATCTCTGTGAGCTGCCTCCGGAGTGCTCTCCACGCAGAGTCCCCCGGGCTGGCTTTGGCCGATCGCTGGCCCACTGGAGCCCGACGCATTCCGGGAGGCGAGGGTGCGCTCACGCCCCGAGTCGCAGGAGGAGGAGGAGGAGGAGGAGGAGGAGGAGGAGGAGGGAGGAGGAGGGAGGAGGGAGGAAGAAGGAGGAGGTGGCGGAGGAAGGGGACCCCCACCATCACCACCTTCTTCTTGGGAGGAGAAGGGGGAAAGAGAGAGATGGAGGGAGAAGGAAGAGAGAGAGGGGGAGGAGAGGGAAGAAGGATAAGGATGAAGAAGACCACACCGCCATATCCACCATCTCCTCATCCTCCTGGTCCTCTTCCGTTTCGCCGTTGGTCAGATTGCAACCATGTGGTGAGAGCTTTCCCTCGCCATCCTCCTCATCCACCCTCTCTCGTTGTCCTCATCAATCTCCTTCCTCCTCATTTCTCCCCCTCGTCCCTGCCGTGCCTCCTGCACCTCCCTCTTCCTCCTCGGCCTCCTCATCAACCATCGCTGACCCCCACACGAGACCAGTCGGATGAGGTCGGGTCTGCTCGACCAGCCGACATCGGACAGATCTGCCTTTGCCATAAAGGCGGCAAGCCACACTCCACCTCATGAGCCAGAGCCGCGAATCGCGCGCGGCCCCTGGCGCTGAAGCACTGAAGCGAGGAGAGGGCAAACTGGACAAAACAGCGGCAAGGCGTAAGGCGGGGGGGTAACCAGGGCAGCGGAGAAGCGAGCGGAGGGAGAACGAGAGAAGAGGGGAACTGATGAGTACTGAGTAAAGGGATGGAAGAGGAGAAGGAACGGGAACAGGATAGGTGCGCTCGCGCCATATCTGACATCATATCCCTCCCTCCCATTCCTTCCCATTGCGTTGATGCTTTCTCTATCCGCGGACGCGTGCCATAGCCGACCTGGAACTCCACAAAAGACCCTGACATGTTACGCGCAACCAGAAAAAAGGTGGCTGCGTACATAGGAGGATGTGGAGGAGGTGGAGGAGGAGGAGGTGGCGAGTGAGCAGGAGGAGGAGCAGGGAGAAAAGTAGGAGGACGGGTGAGGAGGATGACGAGGACGAACAGCAGCAGCAGGAGCTGGAGTGGAAGAGCGGGAGAAGCAGGAGGACCAGGGGAAGGCTGTAGGGGAAATGAAGGGGGCGACAACGATGAGAAAGGATGATGGGTCTGTTTTCCACCACCACCACCATAAGTTGGAGGGGGGAGGTGGAGGACGAGGAGGAGGACGAGGAGGAGGAAGAGGAATGGGAGGTGGAGGAGGAGGAGGAGGAGGAGGAGGAGGAGGAGGAGGAACCCCTCCCCCTCCAGCTTATGGTGGTGGTGGTGGTGGAAAAGTTGCCCATCAAAAGCTGGCGAGAGCGCCATGTTAGACGACGGGGTCACAGCGCCTGTCCACAAGTGGGGCCCACGCTCCAGCGGGGGCACCCTTTCAGAACACCGAGAGTAATCGGATAGTAAAGCCACATAGGGCAAGCCAACTTTTGAAATCCTGTGTGTTCCACCAGATTGGGGGATCCACGAACCTGATAAGGAACGTGAGTCAAACCTGCTTCTGGCGCAGTGCAACACGTTCCATTTGCTTGACTGCAACCACTACCTCCTGCATGTTCTGCTTGTTATGCTCCTCCTGCTCCTCCTCATCCTCTCCACCTTCCTCATCATTCCTCCTTCTGTTGGGCTCCCCAACCTCCGCGCACGAATTTCCACGTGATGGGAATCCGACGCGCCCAAATTGGGTCCCGCCTTGGAGGCCGTGGATGCGTGAGAACGCGTGCCCCGCGAGCACGCGCCAGGCGCATGCTGGGACCCCCCCCTCCTGCGCACAGATGTTCATGTGTGAAGAACCCGACGCGCCCAAATTGGGCCCCTCCCTTGGGGGCCGTGAACACGTGAGAACGCGTGCCCCGCGCGCGCACATTCCTCGGTCCCCCCCCCCCTTCCGCGCACGTGCTCCCACGTGTAAAGAATCCGACGCGCCCGATTCGGATCCCCCCTTGGGGGCCGTGGACAACTGACCCCGCGCGCACACGCCTCGTTCCGCATGTTCCCGTGTGCTAATTGGACCCCCCCTTGGGAGCCGTGGACACATGAAAACACGTGCCCCGCGCGCACGCGCCTTGGTCCTCCCCCCCTTCCGGGCACTCATTTTCACTAGTGCAAAATCCGCCGCGCCCAATTTGGGTCCCTCTCCTGCGGCCCCGTCGTGGCGAGGAACATGTGAAAACACGTGCTGGACGCACGCGTGCCGAGACTCGTGTTGGAGATCCCCCCTCTGCACACGTAGTGTTATTCGTCCAATTCCGACGTGTGCTGCTCGATACCCTTCTGGTGGGCGGATTTCGGCCAGCAAACTAAAAGAGAACCCCGGGTCGGAGCTCTTACCCGAAAAAAGACACCCTTCTGGTGGACGGACTTCGGCCAGCAAACTAAAAGAGAACCCCGGGTCGGAGCTCTTACCCGAAAAAAACGCGGAGAGGGTCGAACATCTTCCGCACTGGGTCAGGGAAGAGAGGAGAGTAGTACTAAGAACGTGTAATTGTGGACAGTACGAAGAGGGAACATGCCGTAGAGAGGGAAGGAGAGAAGAACACTGTAAAGTGGCAAACGATAATGTGAGAGAAAGAAAGAAATACAGAGACAGACAGACAGACAGACAGAGAAAGAGAGAGAGAGAGAGAGAGAAAAAAAAAAAAAAAAAAAAAGAGAGAGAGAGAGATAGAGGGAGGGGGAGGTACAGAGAGACAGGTAACGACAAAGGACGGGCAGGGAGGAAGGCCAGGAAGAGAGGATGGGAAGGAGGGAGGGGTGAGGGGCGGGACGAAGGAACGAGAGAAGGCTCCGGGGGGAACGGCCGGCCTGGCCCGCAGTGTCCCAGAGGGCCAGCTTCAGCTTCTTCCCCCTCACCTCGGGTCGGCACAGAATGCCCCGCGCCTGTGCCCGTGCCATCAACTGGCCCACAATCCGTCACTGGTCGCCGCACTTCCTCTCGACCAAGCTTGGTTCCATGCAGTACGATTCCAAAGAGCTGGAACGACAGAGTCGTGGACACCAGAATCGGAGGCCCACCGCTCCCAAAAGAATCAGCGCTGAGGTCGGCATGTAGACCGGGGGGGGCGTCCATCTTCCATCTGTTGTCCGCCAGGGCCAGCGCCACACAATCGGTTCCACAAAATCCTGCATCTAGGTGGGAAGGAATGGGAATCAAGGGCTCACGTTCTACAGGGTTCACTTTCTACCCCACACACACACGAACACACAGCTTGTCAATACGTATGTATCTATATTTGTATACTCTCTCTCTCTCTATCGCTCTGCATGTTGATTTTGTCCTCTCTCTCTCTTTCCCTCTCTCTCTCTCACTTAGTCTCGGCCTACCCTCATCACTGCTTCCGAGATCTCTCAAATATCGCCGACGACGTAGCGCTTTGCAACGTTACCTTGCGAAACTCTCGGGCCCGCAACTCTCCCACCACGTTTCCTAGCCGAGAGCGCGACTGTACCCGTGCAAGCATGCACCATGCTGATAAATAAGCGCGCACACACAAACTTGTTCCTCCAATGGCCGAGTGACGTCACCGCAGCGAGACGCAGCGAGAGCTTGAATCAGCTGCAAACGAGCATGAATTCCACACGGTTTCGCGAGAGGGTGGCTGCGCGAAGCGAGCGAGCGTGCGAGGATGAGGTCCCAACTTGAGGGAAGGCCAGGAAACCGGCGCTTGCAGGCGCGCAGGAGCGCTTTGGAGCCACACACACGTTTGCCAAGATGGGCAAAGGGGACGCGAGCGCAAATCCGAACTACACCCACTGGCAACTGTACAACGCATGGCTACACAAAAAAATGCGCAGTGGCACGGCCCACGCTCCCACCAGGAGGCGCCGTACCAAATCGCAACGAGGCAGGGGGGAAGAAGAGCGAAGGCAGCAAGCAAACGACACTTTTTAATACAGTGCCGGCTGGTCCAGCTGAGCGAGGCGAATATCGGGGCGCGCAAAAGGTGATTACCACCGAGTATGTGTCGACAGCAAGCAGCCACGCACACAAATGTTTTGAGCACACGCGGCCGGGGCGACTAGCCACATGGACGACCCGGGGTCACCAAAACGGATCGAGAACGAGCTCCTTCGCTTGCAGCTTCGCTGAGCGCGGGGAAGGGCAGGAAAATGGCCGCGTACACACAAACGCATGCACGAACCGCGCGGCGTCTCGGCGGTACCCGTCGCCCGCCGCCCCGGGAGAAGCAGTGCGAGAAGAAGGGAAGGATGAATAGAGAGAGCAGGCCCCGCGCGCGCCTGAAGGACCCCGAAAGCGCACGGCGGAGAAAACATACACACACGCCGCGCCACCCGCCCCGCCCGACGGCCCGGTCTGCCTCGCGGCCCGCGACCCTCGCGCGCCGAAACCACACCCCGCGCGGTCTTCCCCCCTTAGCGCCCCGTAGACGGCAGCCCTCCTCTGCCCCCCCCCGCCCAGCACGACCCACCCGTCGTCTCAATACACGCCAAACCAGCCAGGGTGAGGGGTTTGCTGATCAGCGCCTCGACGGGCAGGCCCCGAGGGCGGCAGGCCTCCGACCGGAACGCAGGAAAGGCCACTACGCCACGCAGCGGCACCTGGGCCAAAGAAGCTGCAGAGATCCGCCACTATGCCCCCCTCGTACGTTGAGGCGTGCCAGAATGCCAAGAGCTGTCCGGTAGGGTTCCTGTAAGCTTCTACGGGGCTCCCACACTCTCGGGAAGCACCCAGCTGCGTGCATCGCCTCCTCTTCCCAAGCAAAATACGACAGATTCGCGCTTCCGAAGACCAGATGCCTCCAAGACGGCCCGATATCGCACCAATGCGGGCCACTTTGGCCTCAAGACGGCCCAAGATGGCTTCAAGACGGCCTTCGAAGCCTTCGAGGCGTCCCAAGAGAGCCCAAGAGCCGTCCCGAGAGGGCCTCGAGAGGCAAAAACCATCGATTGCCAGTAGATGTTTCAATGTTTTGGAGATTCTCGCCTATTCGAGCTTTCGACGCCCCAAGTTGACCCAAGAGACCACCAGAACTGCCCCAAGAAGGCCCAAGAGGCCCCCAAGAGGGCCCCAAGAGGGCCCCAAGACGGCCAAGGGGTCTCCAAGACGGGCCATGAGGCGCCCAAGAATGCCCAAGAAAGCCCCAAGACGGCCCCAAGAAAAGCTCAGAAGGGAAAACACGAACCGACAACTCGAGTCTTGCGCCCCAAGAAGGCTATGGAGGCCCCAAGAGGGCCTACAGAGGCCTCCAAGAAGACTCCGAGAGGCGAAAACCAGATGTTCCGTAGCAGCTTCAATGTTTTGTAGGGTCTCGCCTTTTCCAGCTTCTGGCGCTCCAAGACGGCCCAAAAGGCCCCCAAGACTTCCCCGAGACGGCTCAAGAGACCCCCAACAGAGCACCAAGACGGCCCAAGAGGGCTCCAAGAGGACTCCAAGAGGGCACAAGAGGCGCCCGGGACTGCCCAAGAGGCCCCAAGGCCCAAGAGTGGGATCACGAACCAAACATTCGAGCCGTCTGCCCAAAAGAGGCCCCCGGCAGGCCCCCGTGCCTTCTCGAATAATTGCCACCCAGAGTGATGTGCTGGCATGGTGGCGAATGTCTGGAGGCGGCCAGAGGGCGGCGGAAGGTGGAGAGAGTCAAAGTGAGCGTGCGCGTGTGGGTGTGAACGACCCACCCGCCGTCCCAATACACGCCAAACCAGCCAGGGTGAGGGGTTTGCTGGTCAGCACCTCGACGAGCAGGCCAGGAGGGCCGCAGGACTCCAACTGGAACGCAGGAAAAGCAACTACGCCACACAGCGGCACCTGGACCGAGGAAGCTACAGAGATAAACTACTCAACTACAACCAGCGTGATATGAGCGGACATTGGCGTACATACAACGCTTGGATAGAATGAAGGCGAGCATGCGAAGTGTTGCACTACCTCGCAAGTTTGCACGACAACATGTCGCTCGACCCAAATGCACAGAGGTGTCGACCGCAACCCAAAACGCAAAATGTGTCTCCTCCGCATGGCACCAAATCAAGAGGTGCTTCGGACACTGCGCAGAGCGTTGCTGCAAACGCATCCCTGCTAAACTTTTGCGAGGACACTCCCGCTTTTGCCTCTACCTTGGCACGTGACCCCGCTGGAAATTCTGCTCCACTTGCTCCGCACTGTCAGTACCCTTCCTGTTCTGCTTCGCACCATCATCACTGCCACTACCATCGCCATCATCATCATCATCATCGTCATCATCATCAGTAGCATCAGCATCAGCATCATCATCAGCATCACCATCATCAGCATCATCATCGTCATCATCATCATCATCGTCATCATCATCTTTGTCACCATCATCATCATCAACATGAACAACATCACCATCACCATAATCATAACCATCGTCATCGCTGCCGTCATCATCATCATCATCATCATCATCATCATCATCATCGTCGTCGACGCCATCATCATCGTCGTCACCTCCATGATCAAATCGTCACTGCGACCACTGTTTCAACAAGCACCATCAACATAATCAGTAGCATCAGCATCATCAGCACCATCATCAACAGGGTCATCATGAGCAGCAGCATCGCCATTATCATCGCCAATATCATCAGCAGCATCAGCACCCGCACCAGCATCAGCATCAACAACAGCATCAGCATCAGCATCATCACCATCATCATCATAGTCAGCATCATCATCATCGCAACACTCATCATTACCATCACTGACATCATCATCAACCTCACCAATATCAGCAATAATCACCATCGTCCTCATCCTCATCATCACCACCACCAGCATCACATCGCCATCGCCATCATCATCACCATCACCATCATCATCGCCATCACCATCGTCATCACCATCGCCATCGTCATCGCCATCGCCAACATCTTCGTCATCCTCCTCGTCACCGATATCATCGACATCACCACGAGTATGATGCTCATCTGAGATTGAAGGGGGACGGAGAGGGGGTGAGAGAGAGAGAGAGAGAGCTAGAGAACGAAACAACAACAAACAAACGCCACACATAAACAAACCACCGAAGATCTACAACAATTACACACGTACAATAGCAGCGACAACAACAACGACTATTGCGACTACTGAGATATAGCGAAGACGAATATAAGGAAAGGGAAAGAGGGGAAGGAAGAGAACAGGGGAGGGATGAGAGGGAGATGCGAAAAAAGGGGAGGGGAGGAGAGAAGGACGATGAGGACGAGGAAACAACGGAAGGTGAAGAGAGGGGGGGGAGGGCAGGGCGAGGGACGAGAACGATAGGAACGGGAGCGGATCGAACGGACGCGTCGCAGGGGGGGTGGGGGCGGCCTGCATGAACTTGGTCTTGAAGTCGACCCCGATCGTCGACGCCTCTCAGGGTCCCGAGTAGGCACAGCCGGGGCAATTGGGAGGAACCTGCCCTACTGTTCGGGACCAGCTCCCAATCGAACCAAGTTGGAGCAGTCGCCGGGCCAGCACTGCAAGCACGGTCCCTGCGCCCCCTGCGCGCAGAGAATTTTGAGAATCGGGCCAGCTAGTGGAGGATATGTCAACACACGGCTGCAGCTTCATCGGGCGCGCCAAAGTCCCCATTAGGTGGCCCTGAAGCTGGCGGAGGAACCCCATGGTGGGAAGCCAGCTCGGGAGGTTTCTTCCTTATCGTCAGAGGTTGCCTCATTATCGGCGCGGCTGTACCAAGACACTGTTTCACAGCCGTTCGCCTCATTTTCCGTCTCCTCCTCCTCCTCCTCCTCCTTCCTCATCCTCCTCCCCCCCTCCCCCTCCTCCTCATCATGATCCTCTTCCTCGCTACTCTGGCCTCCCTCCCGCATTGCTCCTTGTCATGTAGCCTTTCTCCTCATTCTCTTCCTCCTCCTCCTCCTCTTCCTCCTCCTCTCCCTCCTCCTCCTCCTCCTCCTCCTCCTCCTCCTCCTCATCCCTCCTACTCCTCGTCCCTCCTAGTCCTCCCTCTCTCCGTCGTCTTCAGCGCTCCTCCTCCCTTCGCCCTGCTCCCCTGGCATGGAGGACGGCGGTCTGAATAAGAGTGGCGTTGCGATCGCTGCCCTGTCTCACAGACTTCATCCAAGCGTCTGCTCATGCATGTTGGCACGAGGACCGCCTCAATGCCGTATGCAGCCAGCCTACTCCCCACTCCACCCCCACCCGAAATGGGCACGGCATAAATGAGAACAATGCCTATCAACAAATGGAGTCTAAAACCCACAGCGGCCGCTGTCCGCGGCGACACCGACAGCGAGCCCTGTTCATTTATTGGGGGGCGGACGACGACAAGCTCACACACTAAATAAACTTATGGCTACCTCACCGTGCCCGTGAGGTGGACCCCGGAATTCTGCTTTTTTAGGATAAGCAGCGCCCGGGGCAAACATTTCCACTGATAGCCCCACAGGCAAGTCAACGCACCGACACAGCGATGCCTCTGCCCTCGCCGACTGCCACACGACAACGAAAAAGGACACTTTACTGCAACTACGCATCTGGAGGCAAGAGGACGGGGAGGAGGAAGAACATGACGATAGCAAGGACATGCGGCGGCACCTGTGGATACCCTACAGGGTCAACGCCCAAATGACAGATCCAGCCGAAAAACAGGACGCAGCTAGGTTGCCAGAGGGACGGGTAGGGAGGAGGGAGGAGAGGGGAGACGGCACACAGCAGGAGAGGGCAATCCAGGAAGTTGGCTGGGGATTCTCACTATAAGCTGAATGGGTGCAAGCACACACACACCAATATCTGTAGACTACCCATCTGAATGGATGAGGCACGGCACGGCAGTGGCCCGCAGCATCGGAGGGCCGAGCCCATGCGGCGAAAGGGCGATCGTCGAGCGGCAGAACTGGCCCGAGGGGTCGGCCGACCGCGGCCGCCAGCTAAACCCACACACGCTGCACGTACACAGAATTAGAGGGAGGGGAAGGCGGAGGCGAGGCGAGGAAAGGCGAGGCGAGGGGGAGGGAGGAAGGAGGGGGCGACAGCGTGCGCGCACCGAATGCTGCGGCCTCGAAGCGTCCAGCCGGCCTGGATCCACAACGCGGCACCACGGTTGGGAGGAGGCTGGAGGAGGAGGGGCAGAAACCGAGGCACTTGTTCAGCGCGCAAAGCTGGCTCGAGAAACCGCTCCCTCAGCGGAGCCGCGTTAGCCTCCCCCAGGTGGACGACGCAGCAGCAGCACGAGAGCAGAGAAGGTACGACACCCGGGGACCGTGGCGAACCCAGACCGGAGGAGGAGGGACACAAGGGGAGAGACGCGCCAGGAGGAGGGGGCCGAGGGCGACGCAAAGCACCGACAGGACGACGCAGGACGGCGGATGACGGCAACGAGCCGCCCAAGAGAGCAACGCCCGTGCAAGCTGGGAGCCGGACGTGCCGCACAGAAGAGCGTAGCTCTCTGTAGACAATAGACGAGCGATCCCCAGGAATCAAACGGGGGAGGAGGACAAGGAGGAGCAGCAGCAGCAGGAGGACGAGGACGAGGAAGGAGGGGAGGCGAGCGATCGCCCACTCGAGGCGCATGGCGGCGGGGCGGCGCCCGCGGAACCGCGGGGCCGCTCCTCCGCCTGGCCAGGACGCGAAACCACTCGCCAGCCCGCGGGGGAGGAAGGGGGAGGGGGGAGGAGGACGAGGAGCAAGCCCTGTTCAAAATGAGCAGAAAATGCTGTCAACACTCGTGCCCGTTCTCTCCGTACCCATTTCGATCGTATTGATCCTCCTCCTCCTCCTCCACCTCCTCCTCCTCCTCTTCCTTCTCCTCCTCGGCTGCAACTAAGGGGGGACCGTGGCAGAAGGGGCCCATGACATGGTTGGCGGCGAGCAGAGCGACGAGCAGAGGAGGCTCAGGCAGGAGGGGCCTCCGAAACCGCGCCACCCCGACGCGATCCTTCTCCTCCTGTTCCTGCTCCTGCTCCTGCCCCTGGTCACCCTCTCTCAGGCAGACCGGCACACAGAGAAGCCAGGCGCCAGGACGAGCATCGGCAGCAGAGCATGGCTAAACAGCAAGTGATCACAGGCCCCAGTGCGTGTTATGCAAAACGTGCATGGTGCTATCAAGCGGCGGGCGACAGTAGCCATACATTAAATACATTAAACAGCACTGGAACGTCGACACAAAAGGGAGGAGGGGATACGAGCGGTGTAATCTCCACAACTGCCATGCTCGGGGCCAGCTTACATCCAGGCACACGCTCGAATCGAGACGCGGCTCCGTCGGCCCACACACGGCGAGAAGCGACGGCGACGGACGCACGCGGCGAGGAAGAAGGAGGAGGAGGCCTCCTTGGTGTGTGTTGAGCGGGTAGAGGAGGTGGCTGTCTAGCGAGAGCCCCGTTTTGATAAGGAACTGCCCTGTACCAGTGCAACTATTACGCTTAGCCAAAGCATGGCGTCAGATCGCTTGTTTGGACGCCCGGCCGCCCGCCGAAATATCCTTCCGTACGACCGACCCGCATGCTAGGGTCCGCCCGCCCATCCACCAGCCGCGCACTCCGTATACGAAATGCATGTCGCCCCTTCCTCTTCGGATGCCAGAGTTGTGTTCGAAGAGTCCAGCATGGGAACAACATTACAACCCACAACGTCTGTTCCAGCACACCACCCGCTTCCTACGCATCATCCGTCTCCCAGGCGCCACCCAGTCCTGCACAACACCCTCCCCGAGGGCAAGTTGACAACGATGCTCTGAGTCACAACCCGCACCTCGATCACAAGAACCAGCACTTCTCCGCCCCCGTCCCCAACACACCAACCAGTACTACACATCACCCCCCAAGTGCAATTTTGAGCACACCCTTCTACTCCACAGCCTCCATGCCCAACACCGACTAGTGTTACACTGCTTCCGTCTCTGCGAAAAATGAAGAACGTGTTACAAACAATATGTACCACGTTTGACTTGTAGATTGTATTGCACTCGATTTCCTCTGCTCCCATCACGCCACCCAACACTCCACTACCTCCGTCTTCAACACACCACCCAGACGACTTCAAATATTCCGCCTCCTACAAGCCACCTACACTACACACGACACAACGCATCACGGACCACAATGGCTCCGACACACACACACACACACACACACACACACACACACACACACACGCACCACGAACCCCAGCTTCCCCATGGACATTTTGCAAGGAAAAATGGGTTCGTGGTGCGTGCGGGGTCCGAATGGACCGAAAAAGGAGGATACGGCCGCCGGGGGGGGGAGGCCTGCTTCTCGTTGAACTCGTCATCGCAGAAGCGAAGCAGGATCGAGGACTTGCCCACGCCCGAATCCCTCGAGCGGTGGCGGAACTCAGAAAGCAAACGTACTGCAGCGCAGTGAATCTCGAGATAGGAGAGATGGTAATTTGGGAAACCTGGTGTCTCGCAGCACTCTGGGTACACCCCAAAGCAATCATGGAGCATGTCCGCCACCTCGGCAAAAGTGGGGCATGCGCGCGCATGGCCCCCATCTACGAGCATATCCCTTCGCCGACCATATCGCTGCGTGTGCAAGAAGGAATCCGCAGGCGTGCAGAAGGACTCCGCAGACGTTCGGCACAGACAAAATAGAAACAAACGCCAACGGGGACAAATCAGAACGACGAACGTTGTCGGACTGTAGCAATACATCCTGTTGGGCAGACGACACTTGCAGTACAACGGCCAACGATGACTGAGACATGGGCTGCGAAACCTTTTCACAATGACCAACAAACGGAGGAGGGGGACGCCGGGAGGAGGACGGGGAGAATGAGGAGGAGGAGGAGCAGTAGCACCAGCAGCAGCAGGATCAGCAGCAGGAGCTGGGAGAAAACGGGAGGAAGGTAAGAAGGGAGGGGCAGGAGGAGGGGGTGGGGAGCAGTGGGGGAAGAAAGAGGAGGACGGATGGAGGAAAGGGGAGAAGCACGAGGGGAAGCAGAAGGGTCTGAGGTGCACGGCGAAAGTGCTATCGCGAACGAGCTGCGGCAGAAGGCGGAAGCGACGCGCTGCTCTCCCAATGATCAGCAGTTTGAAGAGGTGGTCGTGCGACGTCTCCATCCGTTCAGCGCCGCACGACCCGGCCTGGCCCGCCCGCCCGGCCGCCCTCCGAGCTCCTCCGCCGTCCCGCCTCTCCTCTTCTCCTCCCTCGCCTCCCCCTCTCCTCCTCCTCCTCATCTTCCTCCTCCTCCTTTTCCTCCTGCTGCTCCTCCTCCTCCTCCTCCTCCTCCTCCTCCTCATCATCATCATCATCATCCGCTCTCCTCCCCCTCCGCCCCATTCCCATCCATGTCCTCCTCATCATCCTTTTCCTAATCCTGGTCCTACTCCTCCATCTCTCATCCTCCTCCTGCTCGTCCTCCTCCTCCTCCTCATGATGATCCCGCTCCCCTTCGTCTGGTTTCGCCTCCTCCTCCTCCTCCTCCTCCTCCGAATCATCCTCCATATTATGTGTAGGTGTGGGAGGGTAGTTTCCCTCGTTATCTCTCTTTCTCAACCGTTTTCTCTCCTCTCCTTCTCTCTCTCTCTCGCGCTCTCTCTCTCTCTCTCTATTTCTCTCTTTCGTCTTGTGCTAGATATGTACAACCGTTCATTCACATACACACGTGTGTGTGTGTATACATCTGTATATGTAAACATGTATATAAATATATTGTACATGCGTACGTGTACACGCGAATGCTTACGTACACGCATAATGGCATGCTCACGTGTGCATCTATATAAATATATGTTGCTCGTGGCTCGGCTGCCGCGAACCCAGTCCGAGGAGGAACTCCGGACCTAGCTCTCTACACTGGCAGCCGGGAGGCGAAGCCTCCTGTAGCCGGTCGTCATTCCAACGACCGGGGTATCGATTTATGCTAGCAACGTGCGGCCGGGGCTTCTGGCCGGAATCATCCAACGGTCACCTATGGAATATCCGCTCCCCCCCCCAGGGGGGGGGAGAGGGGGGAGGGAAGGGGGGAGGGAAGGGGGGGAGGGGGGGGAGGGAAGGGGGGAGGGGAATGGAATGAATGGAAATCCGCAAGGGAAGCGGGAAGGGGGGGGAAGGGAAGGGGGGAGGGAGGAGGGGGGGGGAGAGGAGGGAGGAAAGGGAAGGAGGGGAGGGGGAAGGGAAGGGGGGGGGGGAACGGGGCGGACCCAAGGCGGCAGCGAGGGAGGGAGGGGGCAAGGGCCGTCCAGGCAGGGCGGACCAGAGTTTTTTTGTTTTCTCGTAGGCTGTCGCAAAACAGAAGGAGCAGTGTGGTCAGCCTGCGTAGATCCATCTGTCGCCGAAGCGCAGCCCCACCCCGTGTGTTCCTGCTGGGGGAACGGGCGTTGGGGGAAACGCTCTCGATATAACAAGGGGTGGAGTTTCTTTATCCTTTGCCACGCCGTGACTCGTCGGAGAAGTCTATGAGAGGTCAGTGTAAGATCGAGCGCTGTGTCTTCGAGCCATGGCCGGGGCGGCACGACTGAAGTCCGCCAGAGGGTGTCTGCGGTATGCCCGTACCACTCGCCAGCCTTCCTTGGTCCCCCGACGCGTTTGGGGCCATAGTCCCAAGGCCGGAGCGTATGTGGGTCGAAAGTGCAGGAGGCGACTGGGTCCGTCGCGGGGGCTGAGATCAGGCGGCAGAGCAGATCAAGCTTGAGTTTTTTCGTACGTGGCGCTGAAGCGTTCGAGGGCCTTATGAGGTCTCCTGCTATTGAGGGCCTTTTGGGCTTGGCTGTAGATGTACTCGTTCGTGTTCGTGCGGTCCTGGCCCTGGGCCACTTGGCCGAACGTAGTCGAAATCCCAAGGATCTTGCGGAGGCCTTTCAATTGAAAGCCGTCGAGCCGCTGAGTCTGCCCGGGGGTCAATTGAGTGGTTTCTAAGCCGTACAACAATTTCGATCTGCATACGGCGCTGAATACTTGTATTTTTTTGCGAGACCGAGCAGTCGCTGTGCAGCCAGAATGCATCAAGTCGTTGCATCGTTTGGTAGCAGTTGCGGATGCGTGCGCTGATCTCTTTACCGACGTCGTTTTTATACTGTCAAGGGAGCAGTCCCAATATTTTACCGTCTCCGCGGACGGAACATGTGTGCCATCCCGGTATGTTATCCGACTTGGCTGTCCTATGACCATGAGTTCACATTTGTTTTGCTTAGGTTAAGCCCGAAACGCGCGTTTTCTTTTTTTTTTTTTTTTCAATGGCGTGCAGCATGCGTGCGATTTGAGATTTATTGGAAGAGACGCACATCGTGCCGTCAGCGAACAGTACTGCATCGAATGTAACTCCGGGCGGACGCCCTTCCGAAAGCGACGTGCCGTGCTTGCTGTAGATGTCTTGGAACAGCACATGCATAACGATCAGAAAGAGATACGGTGAGAGAGGGCAGCCCTGGCGGATCCCAGCGTCCTGGCGGTGCCATTTTGACTCGTAGTTGTCCATGCCTACCTGGAAAGTGGGGTTCCTATACAAGGCTTTCACAACGTTAACGATAGTGGCCGGCAGCTGCATGCGCTCCAGAGCGCTGAGTAAGGCTTCGTGTGTGACGCGGCCGAACGCCTTTTCCCAATCGAGGAACAGCAGATAGAGCGGAGAGCCCTGCTTGTAATTTCGGGTGCTGGCGCCTTGGTGAACCATCTGTCTGACGATCTTCAAGGCTTGGGACGTGCTGCGCCGTGCCCGAAATCCAAATTGCGTCGGTTGTAGGAGATGGTCAACCTTCTTGGCGATGCGGACTTTGAGGACCCCCGCAATGAGTTTATAGAACGAGTTCAGCAGGGAGATGGGGCGGTAGTTGTCGAGGTTGGCAGCGCTGCCCTTGTTCTTGAACAGGAGCACCACCCTGGCCGCCAACATATCGTCCGGTACGAACTCATCGGACCACCATTGATTAAGAAAGTCGAGGACGCTTTGGAGGTTGTCGTTATCGAGTTCACGGATGAGATCCATGGACAAACCATCTGGGCCGGGCGCCTTGTGTCGTTTTCATGTTTTGAGAAGCGATTTTAACTCCGGCAACGTGATGGGGCCTGTTTCGACTGGCAGGGTGCTGTCGGCGAGCTGGGAGGATTCAAATTTGGGGTTGTACCTGTCCGGTTTCCTCCATTGCTTGGTTGCCAGATGGGCGGCCGCAGCCTCTGCCCGCAAGTGTACTGGGACGGGCTTGCCATCGACTTTAGTATGGTATGGCATCGGATGATGACCAGTTTTCAGCTGTCGAATACCCAACCATCTCTCCCTTATGTCGAGTGTTTTGGATAACGTGTCTCTGATGTGCTGCTTTTTGGCAAGCTTGATGTCTTTGTGAATTTCCTTGCACAGCACTTTGTACCTGGCGTGGTCGCCAATGCGCTTGGCTTCGGTGCAATCCACGAACTTCCGGTCCAGTGCAGGGGAGGTACTGAAACCCTTGCGGGCGATTCTCTCCTCCTGGAGATGTTCCTGTGCGGATGCGAGCATTAGGTCCCTGTATTCCGTAGCGGTTGGCCGGTGGTCCAAATCCGTGAGCTTCCGATTGTATGCTTGTCGGGCCTCGCGATCCGGCGCTTGCCACTGCGCCGGCGGCTTGAGTGAGGTGTGTCTCATTGCCTTGAGTCTGACACGGATGGTACTCACCAGCGGGAAGTGGTCGGATTCCAAACCCGACAGGGGGTCGGCTTCACAATTTAAGATATTGTTTTTCCAACGCTGGGGTGTGATGACCTAATCGAGCGTCTCATACTTGGGTCGGTGCCATGGCGGCTCAACCTCCTGGTCTTTGTGTTGGAGGTATGTGCATAGCTTACGCTGTGGTTTCGAAAAGAATGTTGCTGAGCTGGAGGCGGTGCTGTCCACAGAAGTCTAAGAGACGCTGTATATGTACATATATACATATATATAGTCGCACACATATACAAACATAAATGTGAAATCCTGACAGGTGGCGCAGACAGAACGCGTGTTTTCATTCAGCTAGATGTATTAATGCATGTGTGTATGTATGTATGTATGTATGCACGTGTGGGCATGTGTGTTCATGTGTTGGTATTTGTATGTATGTATGTATGTATGTATGTATGTATGTATGGACACATACGTGTGCCAAGTCACATGTACATGTGTATATACGTCTATAGACCGATCATCCAGGACACAAGCGCATGGCGCCAAGTGTCGATGCGGTCTTGTGTGTATGTGTATAGCTGCACATGCATATATAACTGCTACACAACAATAGTTGTATATGTATAAATGGTCTTGTTTTGTACATACACAACAATAGTTTTATATGTATAAATGGATGTATGCACGTATACCTATAGATAATATATGTTCAGTCGTTCAGTCCTTCATTCATTCGTATTGTTTAAATACCACATTGAATCCATTTAGAGATACACTGGAGCCTGTTACATCATGTCCGAAACAGATTGCGTTAAGGCTTATACTGTGGAACGGAGCACGAGGCCAGGCCCTCCACACACACCTAGCCCGACTGTGGGCTGGCGGGGAAGCCAAGGCGCAGGGGCATGTTTTAGATGTGTCCTGCCCGCTGCGCCAGTTCGCGCATTAAAACCCTTTGACGAAGAGCATGAAACTCTGGTCATGTACTCTGGGGTCTCAGGCGGAAGCGCTGAGCGCTCAGAAAATGCACTGCTGTCTAATGCTTCCTGAGCTGGTATGCCAGCCCTCCGATGGGCGCGTTCCCTGGGAGACGCACGGCCCCTGTATATATATATATATATATATATGTGTATCATGATGTGTGTCGCCTGCATCAAAATTGTGGAATGTATATGTTGCTCCTCGGCATGGCTGCCTGCATCGTTTACAGTGATGTACCTGTATCCTCGCCTTCCTCCTCCTCCTCCTCCTCCTCCTCCCCATCCTCCTCCTCTTCCTTCCCCATCCCTTTCCCATGTATGTGACACCGTTTCGAGTCGCACCGCCAAACGCGTCGGTATCGCGGGCAGGGCGTTGTGTACGATAACTCCTCACCGCGAGCAGTATGGCTCTGGGGATTGGAATATCCAAGGGCTGCAAGGATTGAGGGCGGGCTGTTTTCAAGCTGTGGCTAGCGCCTTAGCGTTGCGCACGCCCGTGTGAAGCCGTCTTTTGGACAGAATGATGGAAGGCGATTCGGGAGAAACGTAGGCATATCGCCTGAGGCCTACTCAACAGGTACCACCGAGAAACAAGTGGGCGACGGCCCGTTCGCAAAGTTAGGTTATGGTTTGAGCTGTTCGGTGTTTGTCCACGCGCACATGCACGTGTGTGCAGAAGCTGCACGGATGGCAAGCGCTTCCTGTTCGAACATGGACTCTCGCTGGACACTTCCGTCGCATGTACGGTCCTGCCTCTCCACATCCCTCCCCAATGGGGAGGATGCGAGCCAGATCCTCGCCAAAACGGGAAACTGCAAGCGTGTGCTTCCCTTCGTGAGAAGGGAACGGTTTCAGGGATGCATGGGGAGGAAACTTGGGACGGGAGGGTGCGTTGCAGCATCGTTGATACATCCTGGGTGTCCTGTGATCCCCCTCCCGTCCCTCGTGCCTACATATAACTCCTCCTGTCGCACCACCAAACGCTTCGGTAGGGGAGGCAAGGCGCTGTGCCTGATCGTCCCTGACCATGTGCGGCCTGACATTTGAAATTTACGGCAATCATAAACATGGCGGGGGGGTTCGGTTTCAAAATAAGGGGGCTCTCGCCAAGGCGCCGCTAACACTCATCTGAAAAACTTGGAAACAATGTTATGATTGACGGGCTGGATTTCAAAACGGGGCTCTCGCCGCGCCGCGCACAGTCGCCTTCAACATCTGCAAATCGCTCCAAGACTGGACGGCAGTTCTTTGGGGCGTTCGCCACAGCACCGCGCCCACTCGTCCCAAAAACTTGGGCCTGCCACAATATGGAAAGCGATTCATGTTCAACATTGGGGTCTCGCATATGCGCCGCGCATATTCGTCCTGAAAGCTTGCGCCTGTTGCAAAAATGGAAGGCGGTTCATGTTCGGTTCTCGCCGTTGCAACGCGCACATTCGTCCCGAAAGCTTGCGCCTGCTAGCAGAATGGCAAACGGTCCTTTTTCCAAGTTGGAACTATCATGTGTTACTTCCGCGGGTCTGGCGGCCACGAGCTCGAAACCATGTACCAACAGCATGGGTGGTGAGCGGCTCTTTGTCCAAATCTGGTATTTGGTCGGATCTTCCGGACGCCCAGCGACTAACTGTTCAAACTTGCGTAGCACGCGCACGGAACACGGCGGTTCGTTTCCGAAATAGGGTTTCGCTTGGGATGTCCTGGCAACGCATTTCCAGATATGTAGCCTTGTGCAACCAGCACACGGGTTGGAGCGGCTGTTTTCCAGAAAGGAGGCGCGCTCACTGGACTGACAAATGGTTGATATCGGTGATATAACAGTTTGGCATCTCTCGGACGGCTACTCCGCGTGTTTTTTGTTGTCTCAACGTCGTGCGCTTACTCACCCGCAACATGAACCAATCTGTTCCTCGATGGTCACACCTGGGCGATGCCAACACTTTGTCGTCGTCCGTGCGATTCGCTCGCGAGACACATGGCAATTCCTTGTCAATAAGAAACCCTCGCCTGAATGGCAGGCTACTTGGGCGCGGGCCTCTCGTTCTTGCATCGAAAAGGAAACCATCGGGGGGCCTTCGGACGAGCGGTTTTATGACGAGAAGGTTCCATGCAGCATCGGTGACGCAGCCAGTGTTTACTCTCCGTCCTCTCTTCATCGTCATCCTCTCTTTCAATATCGTCCACGTCCTCGCCCTTCGCCTTCCTCCTCCCTCTTCCGCCCTCCTCACCTTCCTCCTCCACCTCCTCCTGCTCCTCCTCGTCGTCATCACCACCACCACCCCTATCATCACTATCAACATCACCCTTATCATTCGCATGGCTCCTCAGGCACGCACTGCCCGGCTGGAGTCGATCCCCAGCCACAGGTGGCGGTCACACCCGCGCGGCGGGGTGCACACGCAGCAGGGTTTGACGGACCATCGGGCAACCGTTGCGTCTGCAATGCGCGGTTGCGGCTGTCCGCCAGAACCCGCGGCATCGGGTGATCATGTTTGTCCGTACCAGTGCGACCACAAGTCACCATCTTGCTGTACCAGATCTGGGCCTTGTGCAACAGCGGCGCAGGCGTCCGCGTCCCTCTATATCCTCTCGGGCTCTGGGTGTCACTCGTGCGCTGTCGGCCAGTCGCCAGGCCGTCCACGGGCTCGGCCTATCCAACTGGCGCAGTCAATCCTCGCCCCCTTCCGCGAGTTCACTGGAGCATGCCATCGGGTGGAGAAACTACCTCTGCCGCGGGAGCGCTGCGTGTTTCCCCGCGGTCCTCTTGCACATCAATGCGGTGATCATCCTTGCTTCTTTCAATCAGGTTCGGCGCTGCAGTGACAAAAACTGACCGCGCTCGGGCCTGGCGCCCCCGCTCTGCCAGCAGCGTCGCGCGACATGCCTCGCGGCTTCTGTAGCGGACCCCCGCTCTCAACTTGGCACAAGCAATGGGTTACACTGTTGATAGCGGCCCGTCGGGGCGCGCCCCTTCGCGCATATTTCACCGAGCAGTATTTCATCGGGGAGTGCGTCGTCGAGCACCCCATCGTGGAATGCGTCGCCGCGACGCGCCCCAAGGCGGCGAGCTTCGCCGCGAGTGCTTCGCGGGCGTGCTTCGCTTAGCAGTTGGGCACCTCGCCCTCGCTGGCCGTTCGCGGGGCCGCAGTTCTTTACCCTCGCGGGGGCGATCGCGGCGATTGTGGGGCTCTTCCTCAAGAGGCTCGGGCGCGCCCTCAGATCGGCGACCGGGCCCATGTTCGTCGCGGAGCGCTCTGCTCACGGACGTCTTCGTCGCGCATTCGCGGAGGCGCTCTCAGAAATCTGCGCCGCGGCGGCGCGCCGCGCAGAAACGGCGCGCCATCGCCCGGCCGCGCCCCGCGACGCGGGCGCGCCCCGCGGAGGCGCGCCCCGAGAGGGCGCGCCTCGCCCTCCAAGCGCGCTCCGCGGAGGCCCGCTTCAATGTCGAAGTGCGTTTCGCGGGGGCGCGCGTCGCAGTGGAGGCGGGCTGCAACGCGGAGGCCAACTTCCCCATTCATCGAGGCGCGCTTCGCGGAAGCTTCCTTCGCGGGGGCGTCGTCGGGGGGGCCCGCCTCGAGGGGGCCTGCGCCGCCGTGAAAACGCGCTTCGCGGTGGCCGTCTTCGCCGGCGCGCCCCGCGCCTCCCGGGCGACGGCGTCTGAAGCCACCATGTCCACGGCGCCCGGGGCCCGCGCCGCCTGGCCGGAGTCGACTGCGCGCCCGAGGGCGCGGCGCCGGCGTCGGCGCCCCATCTCCACGGCGGCGGCAGCGGCGGCGCCATCGGCCGCCCGCGCGATCGGAAACAGCGGCGGCTGCGCTCTCGGCGGCGACGCGCGGGCCCTATTTGTCGCAAACCGCAGGGAGGCGCGCCCGCGCGCTGAGGCGCGCTTCGTCGTGGAGGCGCGGTCCACTGAGGCGCGCATCATGGAGCCTGCGTCGCCCAGCAGGCGCGCGTCGCGGCGGCGCGCCCGCAGAGGCGCCCCACTTCTTCGCGGGGGCGCACTTC